AATTAAAATAAAATAAAATAAAATAAATAGTACAGCAAGTTAAAAAAAAATCTTTGCAATTTTTCAATTAAGTTTTAGCTAGGGTTGGGGGCAAAGGTGGGACCAAGCTACAAGGGGATTTAGGATTCCACAGGCCAGGCTTCTAATGTAAGAATCAGATCCTGGGTGAAAAAGAGTTTCCAGCAGGAGGACCCATGCTTGGTTGCTAGTAATGGATATTTCTCCAGTATCAATGTATCCCTTCCACACAGGCCATTTCCTGCCACTTTGCCAGTGCCAGCTGCCACTATATCGATGTGAAGGGCACCCATCAAGAAGGCATTGAGAAAGAAGTGATAAAAATCGCACAGAAGCGTGGCTTGACTGCAGATGACATCAGTCTGAAGGTATGTTTCAAGGAAATGACAAGGATTTAAGGTTCTTCTTTTCTTCAGGAACCTAATGAATGCCTCATTTCAATTAAAGTTTTAGCACTTAGGTTTACAGTTCATTTCAGAGGCCTTCCTAGCCCTGTTCCGAGGAATATTGGAGTTTAGTTTGCACACCTGCCTCCCCCTTTAGGGACCTAAGATCTGACTGGGTCTTCCTAGGTCTTTGGAAGTCCTGCACTGAGTGAGCAATCCCATTCCACACAGCACAGGTTGGCAAACAGAGTTAGAAAGGAGGAGATGAAGGACCAAAGCCTCGTTATGAAGGCATGGGGGCAAAGGTAAAGGTTGTAATCTCCTCCATAGACCTCCTTTACCCACAGGGAATAGAGCACGTGTGCATTAGGAATTCCAGAAAGACCTGCCAGGGCCCACCATGCCTGAGGAAGTTTTTATTTTGGTCACGTTGGAGTTTTACGAGAGGCATAATTTACACAGTGCAGAAATAAAAGACCCCTGAGGGGCCCTGGAGTTTGCCTTACACCTGTGCTTTATGGAGATTGTGCTAAATAGTTGCTGTATTTATTTAGCTTATAAATAATAGTTTAACAGGTTTATTTAGAGTAACAATACTAAATATAATTCTTTCCAAAGAACAAAAGCACTTTTACATTTCTTTTTTTTTTTTTTTTTTTTTAATTTTCTTCACCAAAACCCAATAGAACAGTAGTATAGCTCCAAGAAGTTAAGAGTCCCAGAGGTCTTAGACCTAAGCAACAGAGCAATATTTCAGATTCAGGCCTAACTTTCAAGTCTTTTGTTTGAACAAACAAAGCTAAACAAGAAACAATAACATTTAAATTATTTTATGAGGAACAGGGGAGTAGCAACAAACTGGTAACCCGTGACACCATATTCACTGCTATGGCCTAATCAGGAGTGGAAACCTCAGAGTGGTTCTGGCGGGCAACACAAGGGTAAGCCAGGAGACAGGCAGCAGTTTGACCTGTAAGCAGCATCTCACCCACCCAGGTCTGTCACCTGTAGTTAGTGCAGCACCAAATCAGGCAGGGCTGACAGCCAGAGATGCACTGACTTAGTGTAGTTAGCGTACTGTAAATGAGTTGAAGTCTCCGACCATGTTTCATTTATTAAATTATTAGCTTTTTTCTTTCCTTTTACCCATGTATGGAGGCTAGATGTCATCTTTCTGTCATGGTGTATTGGCCAGTGGAAATGCTCCATAAATTCTTTCTGTTTATAATCATTTCCAGGATCTTTGGAAGTTTCGAGCCCGGCTTGTGAAAGGAGAGCGAATTAACCTCTGAAATAACCCTTCATTATAGTGGTTTAATGGAAGTTAAAATGAAACAGAGTTTGAAGAAAGGGTTTTCTTTTGGGGGTGGTGTAATCTTTCTCTTACTTTTTAACAAAATCATGAAATTGTACAGAGTTAATTTTGCAGTGTGGTGCTGTTGTTTTAATGGAAGTAAAAACAATGAAAGTGGAATACTGGTTTCAGAACAAATCTGTGCTTACAGATAATAAAAGTGATTGATGTATAATTGAAATATGGCCAATCTGCTTCTTTTATTTAGTGAGCCCTTTGTGCATTCAGGATGAGTTCTTTGAAACTCAGAGCACTGAGCTATGCTGGTAACCCTTCTGCCTACCAAATTCAGGTCCAGAACAAGGCACACAGGGTGCATGCACACTTACTAAAGGGCATACAGAGGCAATCATGGAGCCAAATGCATGGAGCCAAACAGACTTTCTCCCAAGACTTCTTAACCCAAAACCCTCCTTAGAAAGCACCAGTCTTTTCCTCTGTTCCTGAAGAATGGAAGCCAGGGCAATTTTATTTGCTTTTTAATTGGACATAGCCACTGAAAATCTTCAGCATTCATAAGTGGAACCTAACCTCTTCCCAGGCACCGGAACAGTTTTAGATACTTTGCCTGGACTTGCAGTGTGTTGCCTGGGGCTTTCTCTGGATATAGCAATACGTTTCTGTAGCATCTGAGGGCACTATGGAGACATGGTCCTTATTTTTAAAAATTGCACCTAGGGCTTCAGTAAGAAAAAAAAATACTGAATTCTTTCCTTATCATTTTGCTAAGCACAAGTTTTCCTATGTCTTTATAAAGAAATCCCATCTAAGCTGGTTCTTGCTGGGAACTTGAGAAGATAAGAGACAGGCTGATAGTCAATCTCTTAGAAGAACTGTTAAGAGATAGAACTGAAATGAATAGCAGCACCAGTCAGAGTGTGGAGGGAGCATAGTGCATTCTAGAATACTTTTAATGAGTTTCAAACTCAATCTGAAAAACAAAACTTCAATAGACAAAACATCATAACTGTCATTCCTGTGTATTTTGTGAGTGAAAGCTACCCAGTCTATCAGGAAACATGCATTTCTCACATCTGTGTCCTCCTCTATTAGTTCGTGTGACACTTTTCCAAGCACCATTCTGTGTAAGGAGCCTAGAGGGAAGCAGGTTTCCACATAGGATGAGCCAGTAGGGAGGAAGATAACCAACTGTCTGAGCAAGTGGGCATGATGTCAATCATGGAGACTCAGGACAGATGACCAGTACACAGCTTCCAAGCCTGTGCCTGGGACCAACCAGAAAGGCTTATCTTCAGTCCTTACATGCAAAATCATGCAGGTTTGTGATTGGGTGGTCAAGATTTGACATCAGCTTAAAGAATGAGAAATACAGGGGCCAAGCAGATGGCTCAATAGAATAAGCATTTGTCTGGCATGCGCAAGGTCCTGAGTTCAATCCCCAGTTCTGCCAAAAAAAAAAAAAAAAAAAAAAGAATGAGAAATACAGAAACCTACACCATTAACCTGGTGACCACTATGAACTCTCAGTGGCCCACTGTCACTTTGCAAGGTAGACTTATTTGCCCACCTCTAACTGGCCCACACTCACTCTGCAGAACAGACTTCTTTTCCTGCCTTTAATAACATAAAACTTCATTATCTTTTGTGTGTGTGTTGTCGAGTTCTTTGTTCAGGACTCTAAGAACCAGAGTTTCAGAACCTCAATCCCAGTAACACGTTTCTTGTCAAGCTCAGCCAGGAAATAAGTGGTTTTGTCTGTAAATGTAAAAAAGTGGCGGAAGCTAGGAACTCAGTTTTCTCTTTTCTCTGGAATAATTTTCTAGTGTGTCCCACCATGAGGGAGTACCATATATTCAGTACAGCAGCGGGGTCACATCTCCCAAGCTGTGACAGTCGATGCCACGCTGCCAGTGTTGGAGCTTGGACTTCTCTGCCCCCAATGTACCCTGTTGGTCAGGAGTGTGGCAATACCTAGGGCATATGCCTCAGGGACACGTGCCTCAGTGCAGTTCATGGTGAGACAGGAGATTAGGGTATAGAAAACTGGCTGGGAAGTAGATGTGATCTGTTCATTACAAAAATCCCAGGATATATGTGCAGAACAATTCCCAGAGCTCTGCACATGGACATCTCAGGAGAACTCAAGCAGGTGTTCGATTGGATGGCCTAGACCTGATGTCAGCCTGAGGAGTGGCTGATACAAAAACAGTCTACATTGAATTGTTGAGACTGTGTTCACTCTTGCATAGTGGCCCACCCTCACATGGTAGAGTGTGTTTCTTTTACTACTTTTACATTGCCAAAACTTGCTCTGTAGAGTCTGTTTCTTTTTTCATTTAATAAAACTTTCCTTTAATAAAGCCAAGTGCATGTCTTGACCAATTCCTTGCTTAGAGCAGAAAGAACATAGAAACCACTTCCAGGACACGATAGCCCCTCAAAACCTGGTAACAATGAGATGTACAACATCCTTGGTTACATGCTTGGAGTCTGCCAGAGACCCTCCTATTAAGCCAGTCATGGGACAGACCATTCAGATTTTAATGTGTGCAACATAGAGTTTAGTATGCCTCGTGCCCTCATTTTTGTTCATCCCAATACTTTGTTCAGGTTTCTCACTCTTTTGGGGGGATATGTCTGTTTGTAATTCAGTCTCCTAGTTGAGTAGCCATCCCCCAAAGCCCCAGTTCATTTTGTGCTTCAAGTCTCAGCTGTGCTTTTTCCCAGATGGCCTTTTTATCTCTGGTGTTCGTAGTAAGTCACTTCCTATTTCCCAAGACCTCAGGTAGACATCCTGGTCCACCTCTCTGCCACGTTTGGCAGTCATTTTGGTCATGTGGGTCCGTTATGATTTGGCCATGTTTGTCTGCCAGGTTTCTCTTTTTGGACTGGCCTCATGGACACCAAAAAATCACCCCTATTGATAAGAGTTAAAGTCTCCATTTTCAGGGAACATATAGACCTCTTTGTCTCTTCTAAATTGGGTTAGATCCTTTCCCTTTTTCTCCTAACAGAAATTCAGGTAAGTTAGAAATGTGCCTGAGGACCTGAGCAGAATAAAAGAAATAGCCAACTCAACTCAGCTCAATCATCTGTGAATATGCAAAAGTACAGCTGGAGTCAATACAAACCCTATATTCTACTTAGAACTTTCTAAGGGGTTTTCTCTCCCTCATTTTTTTCCCCTTAAATGCTTACAAAAGAGTTTTCCATCTCTGCTATGTTAAACAAGGTAATTACAACACTTTATTATCAGGAAAAGTGGAAGGCACTCTGTCTCTTAAGTAGTTATATGGACCCTGGGGACCCTACCCTGGTCTTTAAGGAGCTAAAGTGGGCCACAGGCTATGGAAAGTTCTAACAAAAGCAACCACGGAGATATGGGCCTCTCCTACCTGTGTAATGAAAACAACCATGTGGAGAGATCTTAAATCCTTCTTATAATCCTTGGGCCAGTAAATCAGTCCTGTTCTCTTCAAGTGACTCAGACAATTGAGAGGCAAGCTCCTCAGAAAGACAAGCATCTCCAGCTCCTCAGTGGGCTCCTTAGATAGCTTTTAATACCACAAGGCATGTGTGGAGTTCCTTATTCTTCCAACTCATAGCTCATCCTGCCCCTGAGATCCCAGGAGAGAGGGAACTACTTGAGTTCCGATTCCTTTTTCAGTGGCAAAAATGCAAAGAACATCTTTGTGTGATTTTCTGAAGCTCCTAGTAGGTTTGCAAATGGTTTTCAAGCTTGGCCCTTGCTTTTGACCTATTATGGGGGAAATGTTCAGTTTGTCTTGTCCACTTGCTATATCCTAGGTGAAAAACAAAGAATTCTAGAAGAGGCCAGGAGATAGGCAGATGAACACTGAGCTGCAGGAAAAGAAGGGAGGGGTTGCTGTCTTTCCAATAGGACCAAACTAGGACTATAATTCTAGATGTGGACTAGACAAGGGGATTAAAATGATAATTGCACTGACCATGGGAATAAAAAAGACATTAGGAAATAATGTGGGTTATCTTGCAACTGGACATGGGGCTTGCAACCTGCTGCCACTCAGGCCCAGCTTCACTGTCAGGCAGCCAATATGCCTGAGTCATGGGACAAAGCACTGAATGTCACACTACTATAGATGGGTACGGGCAGCCAAAACCCTCATTCCTACTCAGATAAACAATATGGCAGGGGGCTGGGGAGATAGCTCAGTAGAATAAGCACCTGTCTGGCAAGCGCAGGGTCCTGAGTTCTATCCCTGGTACTACACACACACACGCGCGCGCGCGCGCGCGCGCACGAATATAGCAGGGACTCAGGGCAGTCTTCCATGGACAATGACATGTCCTGTGAGAAGCCAACATGACCCTGAATATCCTGGGATAAATTTGGGTGCACCTGAAGCAGAGAAAAGATACCCAAGAGAAGAAAGCTATGCCTGTGAGCCTGTGAAAGGTCTCCTCTTCAAAAAGCCAGACTCTAGTACTGCTCCAGTTTCAGGTAGGTGGTCATTCATGACCCTGACCTACCACAGCTTAACTGGACAGCTGTACTTAGGCTCTTGCCTTTAATTAGATCTATAAAGTGGGTTATCTTGCTCATGGCTATGGCTCTCAGACTCTTGGTAATTTAATCTAAAATCCCTGTTTGCCATGCTTTCTCCTTCACAGGAAGCATGGAAATAAAACTTACAAAACTTCTCACAAATAATAACATGGGGAAAATGTCTCTGGTTGCTGTATCTGTGCTAGTCTTCCCTTTAAGAAAGTCTTGGGAATATTCTGACCTGTGGGACACCTGAGCACAACAAAGACCTCATGCCCTGACTCTGGAATCAAGCAGAAAGAGCTCTCTTCAATTCTTCTGGCACTGGGGGCCTGCCCGTTAGCTCTGTTGTTTAAGTGACTGCTTAGACAAAGCAGTCAGGCTCAGGTTGCTATGGTTCGAGCTCCATATCCTCCTGCCTTACCAGACCTGCGCTGAAGGCATCCTGAGCCAGCCCTCCACCACAAAAAAAAAAAAAAAAAAAAAAATCCATCTCAGTTCTTCTGGCCCAAAGTCAAGCAGTTTTTTGAATTTCTAAAACAAGATTTAGTAAATTAATTAGTACATGCCAGATAAAAATAGAAAATTACAGGGGGCCTGGCCCTAGCTCAGGTCTTTAAGTGGCTGCTTCCACAAAGCTGTCAGCCTCAGGTTGCTGTAGTTTGATTCCCCACAACACTCCAGCCAGCCAAACCT